AACCAGCCCGGCCGGAGGGCCTGCCCGCCCCGCTGGCGGCTGCCCACCCATGGCCCCCTTCCCGGCCCGCTGGCAGCGCCCGGCCGGCCGGGAAGGAGCCCCCTGCGCCCCCTCCTCGGTGTAGGAGACCCCCCGTCCGGGCTCGACCCCCGGCGGTCCTGGAGGAAGAGGAGGAGGCCGCCCTGGGCTACTTAGACCGAGTTTTGCAAGAGGAGGAAGAGGAGGAGGAGGAGGAAGAAGAAGAAGAAGAGGAGGGCACCGGCCTGGGCACAGCGCAGGTGGGCATCGGGTGGGGAGGGAGGGAAAGGGGGGCGGGGGTCTTGAGTCTCAGCCTCGGGGAGGGGAGGGGGCTGACGTCATCTCTTTCAGCCTGATCTCTCCCCCCCCCCCGGGGAAGAAGGGAGGGGTGGGTCTGTCAGGGATGGCACTGGGTGCCCAGGTGGGAGTGGGCGAGGCTGGCATTTTGGGAAGGGAGAGGGTCTGCTGGCAGATTCCCTACGGGGGGGTGGGTGTGTGTTGAGGGGAGGGGGGCTCTTTTTTGGCGGCAGGAGGCTTTGGAGGAGATCCTAGTCTCGCCCTTCCCTTCCCCTCCCTTGCTTTTTGGAAGCCACTCTGTGCATGGGCAGAGGTCACCTTGGGAATGCGAGCACGTGGGAAGGTCTTTTCCAAAGAAAGTTTTCCCCCCCCCTCACCCCCCGGACATCCTCCTTGTTGTGGCTTGTTGCCTGTTGTTGTGGGTCTGGTGCCAAGCCCGCTGCGTTTCAGTTGTGTTGCTCCGAGGGCAAGTTGAATTAATGTGAGGTTTATCGGGCTGGAAGGGGGAGGGGGGGGTTTAGCAGGTTCTTACCCAAAAGGCGGGGCCTCTGGGGGGGGGGGGGTGAGTTTGAAGGGAGGGGTGGTGGTGGCAGAGTTTGTGTTTTGGGTGCGTGTGTGTTTGTGTGTTGTGCGTGCGAGAAAAGGAGATCCGTGCCGTCTTCGCTGGAAATCTTTTATTTCCACTTCCCTGTTTTAGGAATTTGAAAAGTTGGCCTGACGGGAATCGAACCGCCGATTTTGTTTTCGGTTTGAAATGATACACACACACACACACATATATATATATATTCCCTTTTTTTTCCTCCCTTGTGTAACTTCCTTTTGTCTCTCCAAATCTCTTCCCCCCCACCCCTCCAAAAAAGTTTTGAGTTTACAGAAGAAAAGGGTTTTTGCATTAGGATCCTGCTGGGATCAGGAAAAGAGTGCATCTGAGCATGGACGGAGTGCTTTCTTTCCTTCCTAAATTCGTAGAGTGGCGAGGGGCCCTCCAAGGGCATCTACTCCAACCTCCCCGCTCTTTGCTGTTCAGTCATGGCAGCCTTTTGGAACAACCGCCCCTCCCTCAGTGGCATAAGAAGCAAGTATGGGCAGTCCTCAACTTATGACGGTTGTGGGTCATGCAGGTCATTAAGTGGGTCAGAAGGTCGCCGTGCCTGATTTTATTTTATTTATGAAATTTCATCGCCCCCTCCCTCCCGTCTTACATCAAGGTAATTCTGATTTTATACGCTTTTTATGATGGTTGTTAAGCAAACACCCTGGTCGTTAAGCAAATCCATTGTCCCCAGGGGGCAGCTTGGGCCAGGAACTGGAAATACCAATCGATAGTCCTCAATGTATGACCACAATTGAGCCCACAATTTACATCATTAAGTGAGTCGTTTGTGAAGGGAGCTTGTTCCATTTTGTGACTTTTCTCGCCTTGTCCGTTAAGTGAATCCCTACAGTTCTCAATTTGGTCACACAGTCGTTAAGTGGATCAGGCTTCCCCATTGACCTTGCTTGTCCGAAGGTTGCAAAAGGAGACACTGCCACCGTCGTAAATGTGAGTCAGTTGTCAGTCGCTCAAATCACATGACCACGGGGATGCTGCAACGGTCGTAAGTGTGAAAAACGGTCGTAAGTCGCTTCGAGGGACGTTTTTTGTTTATTTCTCCATCTGTCTTCCTTGTAAGGCTGGTTTTCGAGCCAAATATTCCACTTTTTCTGTATCCTTAAGGGTGGAACTCAGCTCTTGCTTATAAAATATCTCTATTTTGTCAAAAAAAACCCCATCTTTAACATGTCAGGAAGCCATGATAGGGAAGACACAGTTCAGGTAGTCCTCAATTTACAAGAGTTCCTTTAGTGACGGTCGTAAGTGTGAAACATGGTCATAACTCCAACTTCTTTTCAGGGCCCTTCTCACTTTGGTAACTAAATGAACTGTTGTAAGTCAAGGACTACCTGTCAATACCAAGTTTTGACCAATATATATATATCATAAATTGCAACAGCTGACTGCCATTATGGCAGTTGTTAAGCAAAGATGGTCATTAAGTGGACCGATGTTTTGTTATGGGGCATTTTTGCTGAATATAGGAAGTATAAAATGTCATAAAAATGTCATAAATTGTGGTTATGTGGCCACTGAACACTTCAAATGGCCACAAATGCACGTAATTTGAGCACACAAAATGAGATTACATGACCACTGGAGTTAATTTAAAATCCAACTTGTAAATACAGCTAGTCCTCAACTTACAACGAGTCATTTAGTGACTGTCCGAAGTTACCATGGCATTAAAAAAAAGGACCATTTTTCAGACTTAACGACCATTGCAAGCATTCCCCATGGTCACGTGATCCAAATTTAGATTTGTTTTTCAGGCAAGTGACTCATATTTACGACGGTTGCAGTGTCCCAAGGTCAGTGATCCCCTTTTGGGACCTTCTCACCGGCCAAGTACATGGGGGAAGGCGAACTCGCTTAACAACTGTGTGACTGACTTGTCAGCTGCAGCGATTCGCTTAACGACGGCGATGAGAAATGGTCGTTAAAGGATGCGAAGCTTCCTTCACAGCTGTCTTGCTCTTAGCCACCAGAATTTGGGGCTCCACTGTGGTTGTTAAGTCAAGGATTGCCTGCACCTTTCTTAGGGTCCGTCGTAAGTTTGAATGGTCGCTAAAAGAACGGTCGTACATTCGAGGACTACCCATTGGGAAACTGCGCTCGGATTTTTGACCCATTGGGTTAGATCAGAGGTCTCCATACTTGGCAACTTTAAGACTATCAGTTTTTTGACTTATCAGTTTTAAAGTTTTTTTTTTAAATTAAATTTCAAATTCATTTTTAAATTAAAGTTTAAAAAATAATTTGAGCTCAATTTTGGACTGTCAGTTTCAAAGTTTTTTTAAAATTAAATTTTAAATTCATTTTTAAATTGAAGTTTAAAACATAATTTGAGCTCAATTATAGACTACCAGTTTTAAAAAGTTTTTTTTTTTAAATTAAATTTTAAATTAATTTTTTACATTAAAGTTAAAAAAAAGTGAGTTCTAGACTATCGGGTTTAAAGTTTAAAGTTTTTTTTTAAATTAAATTTTAAACAAAATTGAGCTCAATTTTGGACTACCAATTTTAAAGTAACAGAGGTCTCCAAACTTGGCAACTTGAAGACTTGTGGACTTCAACTCCCAGAATTCTCCAGCATAGCTGACTGGAGAATCCTGGGAGTTGAAGTCCACAAGTCTTCAAGTTGCCAAGTTTGGGGATAGATCCTAGAAAATGGACGATAAAATGTCCCCCATTTTGCACCCACAGCAGTGCCAAGCCGTCCCTGTGCTGACTTGTTCCTGGGAGTATGCAGTTGGCAGGGGAAATTCAGGCTCAAGGTGCCCCAAGCCTGCGTGGGAAGACGAAAAACAGTGAGCCAAGCCGTAGCGCAGAGGTCTTCAAACTTGACAGCTTTTAAGACTTGTGGACTTCAACTCCCAGAATTCCTCCTCCAGTCATGTTAGCTCAGGAATTCTGGGAGTTGAAGTCCACAAGTCTTAAACTTGCCAAGTTTGAAGACCCTTGATCTATCTATCTATTCTATCTCTCTCTTTCTCTCTGTCTATTCTACCTCTCTTTCTCTATCTGTCTATTCCATGGGTCTTCAAACTTGACAGCTTTAAGACTTGTGGACTTCAACTCTCAGAATTCCTCCTTCTCCAGTCATGTTAGCTCAGGAATTCTGGGAGTTGAAGTCCACTTGCCATGTCTGAAGACCCTTGCCATAGCAGATTCCATATTCTTGTATTCGGATCTTCTGGACAGGGTGCAGGAAAATTAAAGAATTTTAAAGTTTCTTTTTAAATTTCAGTTAATTTTTTTTTAAAAAAATTAAATAAAATTTGGGGGTTCTGCTTCAAGTGAACTTGCAAACTTAAGTTAACGAAAGATGATCAGGAGACTGGGAAGTAAAACATATGAAGAAGTGTTGCAGGAATTGGGGAGGTCTCGTTTAATGACAACAAAGACTTGGGGTGGGACATGATAAGCGGGGTTCTAATATTTGAGGGGCTGCCCGAAAGGAGGGGGAGTCAAACTATTCTCCAAACCAGCTAAAAGCAAAACAAGAAGCAACAGGTGGAAACTAATCAAGGAGAGAAGGAACCAAGAACTAAGAAGAAACTTCCAGACAGGGAGGACAATTAACCAGTGGAACAGCTGGCCACTAGAAGTTGTGGGTGCTTCACTACTAGAGGCTTTTAAGAAGAGGCTGAACAGCCACCTTTCTGAAATGATCTAAGGTCTCCTGCTTGAGCAGGGGGTTGGACTAGAAGACCTCCAAGGTCCCTTCAACTCTATTATCCTTCCTTCCTTCCTTCCTTCCTTCCTTCCTTCCTTCCTTCCTTCCTTCCTTCCTTCCTTCCTTCCTTCTCTGGAGGTTTTTAAGAAGAGACTGGACAGTCACTTGTCAGGAATGGTATAGGGTCTCCTGCTTGAGCTGGGGGTTGGACTAGAAGACCTCCAGGGTCCCCTCCAACTCTGTTATTCTGCAATTCTGTTTGGAACACTGGACAGAAAAATGTGGGGAACGTTTTGGGAAACACCCTGTTGCATCTTCTAAACTAATTTCACTTTTTTAAAGCCTCCCTCAAGGCAGTGAATGACCGCAGAACTGCCCCTGCGAGGTAGGCCAGGCTAAAAGGTAGCGGCTTTAGAACAGCAGTACAGGTAGTTCTTGATTCACAACGGTTTGTTTAGTGACCGTTCCAAGTTACAACGGCCCTGAAAAAAGCGACAGGACCATTTTTCACACGTACATTGCAGCATCCCCATTGGTCACGTGATCAAAATCTGGACGCAATTGACTCGTATTTATGATGTGATCCCCTTTTGTGACCTTCAAGTTAATGGGGGGGGGGGAGCCAGATACATTTAACAACCTGGTTACCCACTTACCAACTGGAGTGATTCACTTAACGACCAGGGCAAGAAAAGCAGGGAAACTGACTTGAGCGTCTCACTTAGCAAACTTAGAAATTTGGGGCTCCGTTGTAAGTTTGAGGACTACCCGTACACCTGGGTTCTTTGGGTCAGATGGGGTTTCCTTTGTAACGTCCGCCTGGGTGGGTGGGTGGGTGAGGCCCATAAGGAGGAGTCAGGGGCATTGTCCCCTGGGAATGTCTTGGGTTCAAATTTCGCCTCCGCCCGCAAACTCCGGCAGGTGGCTTTTCAATCGGACAGATGTCGGAAACCAAAGGCAATTGTGCGTCTTTGTGACGCCAGACGACAAAAAGGTTGATTCACAGCCTTGTGTGTCACACACACCCCTGTGAAAAGGAAAGGTATAATTTATCGGCCTGGGCTTCGGGCCTAATTTGTAGGTGGTGGTTGAAGCCCAGCTCAAATTTTATTTCCTTGCCAAATTCGCATCCTGCGTCGTTTCACGGGAGAAAAAGAGAGGGAGTGCTGACTGTCCTCGACTTACGACCATTGGGTTAACGGTGGTTCCGGAGTTACAACGGGTGCTGAAAATGGTGACCACGATCGGGATTCGCGCTTACAGCTAGTCCTCGTCTTACAACCGTAATGGAGCCCATTATGGTGGTAGGTCGTAAAGCAGGTCGTCCACCATGCGATCGACTTGATTTTGTGACTTTTTCTCTTTTTGCTGGCCGTTAAATGAATCACCACGGTCGTCAAGCGAGCGGTGCTGTTAAGCAAAGCTAGGGATCGCTAAGGGTCCCGCTGGCCATAATAAAATGGATTTGGGGCAGAAATTAAATCGCAGCCAGGTGACCAAGTGGGAAGCTAACGAACGGACCTGCAAATGTCTCCTGCTTAAGCAGGGTGGCTGGACTAGATGACCTCCGAGGTCCCTTCCAGCTGTATTCTGATTGATTGATTGAAATGGTCTAGGGTCTCCTGCTTGAGCGGGGGGTGGACGGGTGGACTAGAAGACCTCCCAGGTCCCCTTCCGGCTCTATTCTGACTGATTGATTGAAATGATCTAGCATCTCCTGCTTGAGCAGGGGGGGGCTGGACTAGAAGACCTCCAGGGTCCCTTTCCATCTCTATTCTGATTGAAGTTGAAACGCTGAGCCGTTGACGAAAAAGGTGGTAACAAGTTTAAACGAGGCGGGTTTGCAAAAAAGACGCGGAATGTAAATACAGGCAGTCCTCAACTTACGACCACAATTGAGCCACACTTGTGACGGTCCCCTCTTTGCGACCTTCTGATCAACCAAGTCAATAGGGGGAGCCAGATTCACTTAACGACCGTATTACTACCTACAGTGATTTGCTGAACAAAGGTCGTAAAATGAAGCAAAGCTCACTTAACAACTGTCTCGCTTTGCAGGGGAACTTTTGGGGGCTTAATTGTGGTTGCAAGTCGAGGATCTCTCCCCCCCACCCGAGGGGTCCGGGACCCTTTTAACTTTGCCCTAACTCTCCTCCCTTCCGCAGGAGGAACCAGATGCCGGGAAAGGTGTGGAGATGCGGAAGTTGGTGCTGAAGGACTTCCTGGCCAGCGAGGAGATGTACATCAACCAGCTGGAGGCGCTGTTGTTGGTGAGTGAATGGGGATGGCCCAGGAAGGAGGGAGTAGAGAAACTGACTGGGTCTTGTTCTGTTTTGGATTGTTGTGTTGTTTTGGTTTTGGGTTGTTTTTGTGTTTTGTTTTTGTTTTGTTTTTTGTTTTATTATGTTATTTTATTTTCATTATTTTATTTTACTTTACCTTATTATTTTTATTATTTTTACCTTATTACTTTTAGTTTAGTTTCGCTTCGTTTACTTTATTATTTTACTTTATTCTATTTTAGTTTATTGTTTTATTTTATTATTTCATTGTATTTTACTTTATCTTATCTTATTTTTTTAGTTTAGTTTAGTTTATTATTTTACTTTATTCTATTTTAGTTTACTTTATTATTTTATTTTATTTCTTCCTTTTATTTTACTCTGTCTTACTTTATTTGATTAGTTTACTGTATTATTTTACTTTATTCTGCTTTAGTTTATTTCACTTATTTTATTTACTTTATCTTATTTTTTAGTTTATTTTACTTTATTCTATTTTATACTTCATTATTTCATTTTATTTTACTTTAGCTTATTTTTTAAGTTTAGT